TTTGTGTTGATTAAACCCTAACAAATAAGAAAATAACAAAAAGAAATTAGTATATAAACACACAAAATGAATATTTTAGTTTAAAAATGTCTATTTTATAATTATAATCTCAAAAAATTAAGAATATAAAAGTTTGTTATAACACGCTATAGAAAACTGCTTGGCGATTAGGTGAGGTGAGACTCCAAGGGCGCCTTGTCGCCCAGGCGCCCGCCTTGACATTAGGTTCCTTTTGGAACCCCCCTCCCCAAAAAAAAAAAGATACATTTATGCACCCCTTGCATAGCGAAGGCATCAGCCATGCTATGCTATTTGCACTCCTTGGAATTCATCGAAATGTATCATTAATGCTGCTAACTGAGATATAGTTCCATGCTCCCATGGTTGTCTTCTTAACCATCCCACAACCACCTTGGAGTCCTTTACAATCATAATTTTATTATTTATCTATTGAAAAATGATATTTTGATTTTTCAAATTCTTACACAGCCAAAAGCCTTGTAATAGACTCAGAAAATAAGGTTATTAATAAGGTTGCCATGGGCCAATTTTGGTTCTGTGGTTTTATCCTATTAATAATTGGGTTGGGGCTGATCTTGCTGTTCTGAACCAGTTCAGACCTGAGCAGATTATATAGTTAATAATATATGAAGGCCTCCTGGTTTTCTTGTAATTTTTGTTATATTTTGTATCCAGAAGGGTAAATTTCATGGATAAGATGATTTTGGTTTAAACACTTGTTTTATCATTATATAAACAGTTTACTATTTTGTGTTATTTTTATATTATCTAATAAAGTTGTAAGTTATTAGTATCATAGGTACATTACCTTCCCTTCTTTGCATCTGAACACCCGTCCAATATCTGACTCCCTTGGATTACCGAGGTTGCACCCATTGAATTCATCTTAATGCAAGGTGGGTCTGGAAGGCTTCCGAAGGCTAATGAATTTTGGCATAGGAGAATGTGAATTTGCAATAATATACCAATTCCTATCCAGGTCATCAAACGAGAAACCAATGAGAATTGGAAAAATGTTTCTCCAATGCACTTTATTAAGCATTTAATTGACCTTTGCTGAACCTTCATGGTTGTATTTTGTTTGTTTGTTTGCTTTTTTTCCCCTAAACGCATCATGTTCTTTTTGTTTTGTACATTCATACATAATGTTCTACACCTTTAAGTTCTCAATTTTAATGATTGTGCACTATTTCTTTATTCTTGATGTCCTGGAACTCTCTTTTCACATTTCATTTTCCCTTTTGAAATAATAAGGTGATGTGTTGTATTACTTAAAAAAAAATACAAGTATAGCTCCTGCACAGTGAGTGGCCATATGGGTAAACCTACATTTTTTATAACGTTCAGGCACACTAGTCTCCCAAAAAATTGTTCTTATAAGAAACAGAGTTTGGGATCAAAATAAGATTTTGGTTTCTCTCTCTACATTGGCCACGGAAACACTAGTGGGCATGTCTGTCTTTAATATTATGTATCATCATATTAAACAAAAAAGTGATTAATGGGGAGTATTGTTATTAATTATGGACAAGTCACTGTCATAGTTTTCAAGGTGCCAAGGCAAGCCAAGGCGATCGGGGGGGGGGGGTGCCTTGTCACCTAGGTGGACTTTTTAAAATAAAAAAAATCATGAATCCTAGGGTAGTTCCCTAGGTTATTTAGAAAATAGGACTCATCCTTCATTAATAACTATCTATCGGTGCAAATGGATTGTTCATAAGAACCAGGAGGAGGCAGGTCAAAGTGGAAGCACAGCTGAAGGGTTTGATCCAGGGAATCACTGTGGTGATGGGAGGACCGAGAAGTGGAGTTCTGGTCAGCAAGCAGGTATTGTTCTGTGTTTTGGTGATTTCGAAATCGAGCTCCCTTCCTCTTCTTCCTTCTATTCCTTCTTGTCACATCAAAGAAGTTTGGAAAAGGAGAACAGAGTGGTAGTTTGCTTGGAAATTTAGTCGGAGGGAAGGGAGGTGGTTTCTGGGGAAGCAGTGAAGGGGCGAGTAAGGGGGGAAGGGGAGGACAAGGAAGAAATGATAGGCAGGGATGGACAAGGACGACAATTCTGGCTTGACTTTAGAACGTGAGGAGTTCCAAAAGACGGAAATCGTAGCTGGCAGATTGGAGTCCTTTTACGCCGGAGAAGACGTGTTCACCAAAGGGAGGAGACTTTGAATCTTCAGAAGGGGTGAAGAAACCTGAAGAGGCAATGCCCATTTGTCAAAGGTTTTTTCAAGGCTAAAAGACGGATTGATTGGGGCAGGACCCTCCAATAAGTATAAAAGAGTTAACAAGAGGAAGAAATTAAAAGTTCTGGAATCAAAGAAGGGTGATGAAAGGGAGGGAGGAGGTGCTTCAAGCTGCAGGAGAGGAGGTTATGTCGACCCTGATAAGGGAATCTAGAGGTCAGGATGGGGTCAGGGAATGAGGAGGAAGGAAGCCAAGCAGATGAGAGTAGTTTAGTGTTGTCTCAACAAGCTGATAAAATTAAGGAGGGGAAAAAGTAGAGCTTTAAGAGTTTGGTGGACAGGGAAGTTAGAATTGGCAAGAGCTTATGGCTTTTCTTTTTGGGAGGTGAAGGGTTTGTTAGAAGAGCTTTCTAAATATTTGAAAAAAGAGATAAAGGAAGAGAAGCTTCGGCGGAAACTGGATTTAATTTGGGATGAGGATGATGACAGATGTGATGAAGCGTTTGATCCTGAAGACTAGACATTTTTTTTATCGATATCCTGAAGACTAGACACTATGTGTTAAGGGTGTGTAATCTTAACACCCCTTGTTTTCTTTTATTAGTTTTTGTGTCTTGAAATCTTCTGTTGCAGTATTTGCTTTGGGTGTAATCTTAACACCCCTGGTCGGGTTGTATCTCGTTTTCTTTTCTATCTATAAATTTTTTTATTTTACTCTTAAAAAAATAATTATCTATAATTTTCATAAAAAATATAAATTTCACATTCAAATATAGAAAATCAACATATTCACGAGAAGGAAGGAAGAAAGAAAAGAAAGTTTTGAATATTTTGGGGCTGAGCCCTTTTTTTTGTCCTAGGAAAAGAAGAAAAGAAAAGGTGGAACAAGAAGAAAATAATAAAAAGAAATTAGTATAAAAACCTGCAACATGAACATTTTTGTTTAATAGTGTCTATTTTATTATTATATTTTAAAAAATTAAGAATATAAAAGTATTTATCAAAAAAAAAGAATATAAAAGTATTTCATAGCTCCATGTACAAGTAAATGGTTCAGGTGCTAAATAGACCCAAAAACCTGGCTTGGGTAATGGGTTAACCTGTCTGACTGGACGGGTCAACCATGGTTTGAAAACACTGGTAGATGGTTTTCTTTGTATCTGACAAAACCATCTTAAGGAGAGTGACCAAACCCCAGTGCCCTCGGTGTTTTGATCCAAGAAGATTGAACCAAGCCTTGCCAAGAGAAGGATGAATGATTTACACTCCATCTCCTGAAGGTCTCTTCTAAACTCAATGTCCCAGTTTAAACCCTAGGTAGAGAAAACCACAAATTTAGAAATAGGTTTGACCTGGTAATTGGATAATGCGTTAAGCTAAGGAAATTGGACCTTATGTGGGTGTTTCCCTAACCAAAGTCCCTCCCACAACAAGACTGAGTCCATTCCCCACATCAAACCACAGATGGTTAAATAAACTGAACTTCAAGGTTTTGAATTGATGAAATTAAAGAATTTAAAGAATGTGAAGGTAAAGTGTAATTAGCTGGCCATAGAAGCAGGATTTGATTCCCTGGAGTGTCAGACCTCTGGTGTTTAAAGGGATCATAGAAAGTGTGACAGTCATGGGTCGAATTTTGATAAAACTTTCTTGAGCACATGCATAAGAAAACCCAGCCTCTCTCTTATGTTGATTGGCCTTGGGTATCAAGTTAATCTGAGCTCATATATTTGGGTGGGGAGTAAGAGTTTGATTGATTCAACTGAAAATTGTGTATTTTTTTACAATATTTTGGTTCGAGCAAAATGACAGCTAGATCCTGTTTTCAGAACATGTCTTGTAATGTACTCAAAGACAAAAACCCTTGGTTGCTGACACAAAAAAAAGGACAAAAAACCCTTGGTCATTATAATACAGAAAAAAGGAGGCAAAAGACTAGTTCAAATTAGATGGACCGCATGACAAATTTCTAGATGCTAACTGCCAAGGAAAGTCTATTGAGGTCTGTTGGCATTCATAACACATTCCTTTCAATTCTGATTTTGGTTAATTCTGACATGCAAATTGTAATAAGATAATTGGACTCTTTCTCGCTTCAACAACAAAATATTCTCACAAAGCATTTGTTTTTGTACTTAGATATGCATGCACATCTTGGATGGCCAGATACCTATACATGTATAATGTATTGTTGTTGGAGATATATGCATGCAATATGACAGTAGATGCCACACCGGCACTTCTAGAGTGAACATTATAGCATCAACACTTACGAAAAATGTACAATGGTATATTTTAACAAACCATGCTGCGAAAAATATGTATCTGTTATAGGTTTTATTAAATTTGGCAAGACACAAGTATTTGAGAGATGACACTTAGCTTCAAAAGCAAGTTATAAAAGAATGATATAAGCATGTCTTTTTTGATCGGCAGTGTGATATAAGCATATTAAATGGATACCTATATCGATATCCACAACTGGTATATCTATCTATCACTGTCGGTATCTGTATATGGGCATCACCAGTGTACATAACAAGTTTCAGTTGCGAAGAGTCAATTTGTGCTACTTGTGTATCCACAATTGTTTGGGAATTTTGTAGTGTAGCTAATTTTGGGAATCCTATTACCTATGTTTACTATTTTTTTTTTCTGTTTCATACGACTACTGTTATTGTGATTATTATTTGTTACGATCATTTTTTATTGCTATTCCATGCTTTGCCATGAAGTTGTATACTTTGCATCTTGCAGTATTTAATTCCAGCGTTTTTGGCTGTTAACAGGAGGAGGTTGCAAAAGAATTTGGTATACCTGTGCAATTCCAGCGCTTTTGGCTGTGGGCTAAGCGTCAAAACCATACATATCGCCCTAATCGTCCATTGACACATCAAGAAGAAACACAATCTGTAAATAACTTCTATTATATTTTCCTCTCCCTATGATGTTTCTTTACCATTGCAAAATATTTATGATGTTGCTTTACATCTTAGTTATTTTGCTTAATGACCCTTTTGATTGATGTCAAAATTTTGCTCATATTGGTCTGATTATTTTCATCTGATGTAAGTTGTAATATTACAACAGTTTGTATGCTATTATTAATAGGGAAGTCTTAGCCACTTCTCATTGGATCTTTCTCGGGGATGGGGTACTGTGAATGAGCCAGGTTTAGCGTTGTTATCTTTTAACTTTTTATCATAGATATTGATGATTCTCCTGAATTTCTATTTTCTTAGCTTGGAGATCCCTTTTACATCCAAATTAGAATTCCTTATTTTAGAAGAGATAGAGGAAAGGTCCTGAAAGTGGATCAACTTGCAAACCTAGAAGGCTATTCAAAATAGTTGCCTACTATGCAACACCTTTATGGAGAGCATGCTTAAATGATTTTTATTTTGATTGTTTCTTCTATTTTTCTTTCCAGTTTTTTTGTTTGGTTTTTCTGTAATGCAATATGCTTTGAAGAATTCATAGGTTTAAAATGGCATGGACATTCATGTTGTCTAGATTATTTCGTTGAAAAGTACTTGCATCTATTGTTTCTACCATTTATCATGGTTATAAGTACAAAGCTGTAACAGAATGGTTAGCCTCAACTAACCATCAATATGGGTTGATTACACTTGCCAAAATCTTTTCATTCTTACAATAGATTTCCCCAAAACATTTCCTTGTAATGGCAACTTGAATGCATGATCATCAATTGCTGACATTGCCAAGTAGGAGCATGTCATACTTGGTCATGGTTTGATGCATTTCCTTATTGCATATCTTGTGACTCAGTTGGGTGTGGTTGGTCCATTACCATGAGCATATTGGGGGTAGTTGTTCTCCACCTGGTGCTCTAGAATCTTTGTTTACAACAGCTTTCTTCAACCCAAGGAAAAGGAGGAAAATTCTTTGGAGATACACTAGAACAGCCACTTTTTGGCCCCTTCGGGAATAGAGAAGCCACAGAATTTTTAACAAGAGTGAGTTTATTGAGAATACATTATGTAGAATGATAAATTGGGTGAAGACATAGATTTTTGGCCCTTGATCAAAGATGCCATTTTTTGCATGGTTGGTATTATGCAACTCATTCTTCAATGGTTCAACCTCTAGATGAAAGCTATCAAAGGAGTGGAGGCCATCAACTATAAATGTATTCAAGCTTAATTTTGACACCTGCAGCATTGGTAACTGGGACCATCAGGTATTGAGGGGATTATGAGCGATAATTCAGGTGCTTTCATGGCGCTCTACTCTGGCCTCAATAGGAGATGGAGATTCCACAATAGTTGACTGCAAGTTGTCATTACAAGGATTTAAACCTGCATGGTATAGAGGTTGAAGAAGATTCGAAAACTCAGTGGTGCATTTTGGTTGCTGTTCCAATAATCAATCATGATCTCATTGGCTCTCTCAGCTCAGGACAACTGGCTCAAGTGATTATCTGATAGTATTCCTAAGGACTATGAGATGCTTTTTTTTTTTATAATTGACTATGAGATGCTTTTTTTTTTTTATAATTGACTATGAGATGCTATTCCCTCCATGATTTTATAATTATATCATGCTTGTGTTTTGCCAAGAAAAGTAGATTCCAGAACTGTGTTGGGATGGCTCAAAAATAACTACAAGGGGATAAAGGTAGCATAGATACACCCTAAGATGGGCTAAATTGCTGGCAAGAGGATTGGAGTCATGGTCCTGGATACCTGGTTACATGGCGAGGCAAATAGCATAGGTACACCCTAGGATGGGCTAAATTGTTGGCAAGAGGATTGGAGTCTCATGGTCAAGGATACATGGAGAGAAATAGCGTGGCTGCTGCACTTGCAAGACAAGGGGTGAACCGGGTTAACTTGTATTGCAGGGGTTAACATTGTAACCTGTTATTGTAATCCCAACCTGAGAAGGGTTTGGGTAGCAACATTGCTAATCTAATTAATCTGCAGTATATCTGTTTATATCGCTCTTTTATCACATCTATTGAAATATAAAGTTATTATTCCAAAAAAAAAAATCTTGTGACTGAGCAATCTATACTTAACATTTTGCTTTTCAGATACATCTTGTGGTAGTGGGGGTATGGTGCTTCTTATGTGCCTGAAATGTTAGAAGGCATGCTACTTGATCTAATACAACTTTTGATTGCTTTGTAGGTTGGGCAATTGCGAGAGGTATCAAATAAGGCACACAATGCAGAGCTTAAGTTGTTCTTAGAAGTAGAGATGGGGCTGGTAATAATTGTTTTCTTTGTTAAATAAATTCATCATATGGTTGAGGGTGACTTGCATTCAGTTACACTCAACTGATTTGTCATTGCAAAGTGGATCTTCATTTTCCTGTCTGTGGTTGTGATTTTCTGCATGACAATACAGGATTTACGTCCGATTGCTCCTCCAGACAAGACAAAAGAAGACATTTTGCTTTTCTTCAAGCTTTATGATCCTGCTAAAGAAGAGCTCCGGTACTTATTTCTTTCTCTACCATTGTTCTTTATGTCCTTCACCCACTCCACACACACACACACACAAAAAAAAAAGGAAAAAGAAAAGAAAAAAAGAGGATAGAATTTCATGTGGATATATGGCATTGTCATATGGTTCCAGATATGCTGGGAGACTTTTTGTGAAGGGTACTGGGAAGCCAGTGGAAATCTTGACAAAGCTAAATGAAATGGCTGGATTTGCTCCTAATGAAGAAATTGAGCTTTATGAGGTCAGTTTTCTCTATCTGTTCTTTTAATGATTTTTTGATCTGTAATATATATGCTCTTTTTATAATTTTTGCTACTTTTTCCTTCTTTCATCTATTAGCAAGGGGATGCTTGTGCATGCATCCTTATGTAGTTAAATCCTCATTTGTCCACAAATATGAATCTGGGATCCATTTTTGTGAAAGCATCTTACCGATTTCTGCTTTTCAGGAAATAAAGTTTGAACCTAGTGTCATGTGTGAACATATAGACAAAAAACTCACTTTTCGAGCTAGCCAGGTACACACGATGCACCTGCAATTGATTGATGGCTAAACTATGAAATTGCTTAAATATTATACTTCAGTTTTTTATCTTCTTTGTATTCTCATTTGCAGCTTGAAGATGGAGACATTATTTGCTTCCAGAAATACCCTCCAATTGAAAGTGAGGGGCAATGCCGCTATCCTGATGTTCCTTCATTTTTGGAGTATGTACATAATCGTCAGGTATGAGCTTAATTAATTTTAGTAACTCGACAATTATTATTTTCATTATTTCAATCTGATTGTGTTGGCATTATGTTGTATCCTCTTTGCACTATTGGTGATTATAGTTCTTTTTTCCTTGTTATGTCTTATTACTTGCCTTTTTGTGTTTTATGAATCAATAATCATATCTTTTGAAAAAAAGGAAATAGTAAAAATACCTGTACACAACCTTAAAATGAATAAGGCAAACCAACTGTTGGAATATTTCAATGAAATTCCATTTTTAGCTACAGAATGTGGATGGGCTATACATGTTTAATGTGTCCATGTCCAATATCATATGTTTGGAACATTTGATATTGCATGTTTACATTTATATTTCAAATACACTTCATGGTATGAACACTTATAAATGTGCAGGTAGTATATGTTAACAAATCTTGCCATAAATTTGTATATGATAGAATTTCAATTAGATTTGGCAATCACATTTCTTATGAAATAATACTTGAAAACTGAATGTTGGTGCATGTTATTTACCTGGGTTATGGGACAATAAATGCACATCAAAAGAGAACATTGATGCATGGTGATATAATATTAAATTGGTTAGCTGTATCTATAATTGAAATGGAGTCATATTCCTCTGTCTGAACATGCAATTGTTCCACTATTTGTATCTGGGCATTTTGACTCACCAGATTTTAACAAGAATAAGCTGATATTGGGTTCTATCTGAACAAGATGTTCAGTTGGAAACCAATGATCTATCCCATCTGATGTGGCATCATAGGTGCACATGAGTCCCCTTCCATCTTAACTGGAGAGGTAGCTATAAAATGCATCAAACAATGGCCCTTGCTTGACTTACCAGACTTTTTTACAAGAATAAGCAGATATTGGGTTCTGTTTGAACAAGATGTTCACTTGGAAGCCAAGGATCTATCCCATCTGAGGTATGTATCTCCCACCGCCAAATACATTATTGAAAACACATTCACTTGGGAGATACATGCAAATACATTATTGAAAGTAGGGGCCTTAGCAGACTTTACATTATTGAAAATATGCTAATGAGTGCTGTATGAATTTCCAGTCTATTACATTCCATAAATGTGTATGGACTTGGACAATAACAATTGTTTTAAGGCTCAAGCCAATCCTTTTTTTTTTTTTTTTTTTTTTTTGAGAAAAGGTAAGGTTCAAGCCAATCCATTCCTTGCGCATGTTTCTCAATCATTTTCTATTCTTGATGATGACATTATTCTAACATGACATCAAATTGATGCTTGCGAGTCCTGCTTTTGTGCATTTTTTTTTTGTTTTCTTTTTTTCCCTCTTAAGTCTTCTCATTCTCTTCGTAATTAAACACTTCTTTTTTACATAATGATTTGTAGGTGGTTCATTTTCGATCTCTGGAGAAACCCAAGGAAGATGAGTTTTGTCTAGAGCTGTAGGCACTATTCATTTCTATTGTTGTTTTTCACTATTTTGGATGGTTTGTGCATCTGCCATTTACTGAATTGAAATTTTTTCATACCCTTTCACCATATAAATATCAAGGTCAAAGCTTTACACGTACGATGATGTTGTGGAAAGAGTTGCCCACCAACTTGGTTTGGATGACCCCTCCAAAATTAGGCTTACATCTCACAACTGTTACTCCCAGCAACCTAAACCCCAACCTATCAAGTATCGGGGTGTGGAGCATTTATCTGACATGTTGGTCCATTACAACCAGGTAATTAATCACCTTTGTTTTGATAGGAAAGGAACTGTATCTCCTAACCAGAGCTTTTCATGTAGATTTCTTTTTTCTTACAAAATGTATTGAAGGTGAATGTTCTGATTAGATATTTTTTTGACAGACTTCTGACATTTTGTATTATGAAGTATTGGATATTCCCTTGCCAGAATTGCAAGGTCTAAAAACTCTTAAAGTGGCTTTTCATTCCTCTATAAAGGATGAGGTTAGTGTGGTAACCACAATGAGTAGCATTTTATATGTATCATAACAAAGATATCTTATTGGATCTCATTTATTTGTTTTCAGGTGGTAATTCATACCATTAGATTGCCAAAACAGAGCACTGTTGGGGATGTGATTAATGACCTTAAAACAAAGGTAGTTCTTCACTCCACATTTTTTTTTCTGTATTGGCATTTCTTCTACTTTTTTTAGTGTCTTCTGAAATTTTGTCCTTGCACACAAGTAGGAACCAATGTTTTCTACCTGTTGTTGACCCAGGTGGTCAGATAAATTGACATGTCACCTGGCGAGGTTTCTGAGTCTGTTTACCTCCTAACTTATAGCTTATAAAATGTCAGCTGAGACGATAACCCAGTGACCCAGCCAAACCATCAAATCATTTGATCCAGTCAGCCAGTCATGGGTTAGATATTAGATCTGTTTATTTTCTGCATTTTTATCTGTTATTTTATATTTTATTATATGATTTAAGATGCCATGGATTGGCCTGTTTGGTCCAGATAGTTAACAACTGTCCTACCACCATTGTAGGAATAGAATGGCTTCATAATACAGCAATTCTAGCGCACTCTATATGCAAAAATTATCCTAGCACTGCTTTTAATTAGATCCACTTACCATGCAAAACTTTCTGGAGCAGGTTGAGCTGTCTCATCCAAATGCAGAACTCAGGTTGCTTGAAGTTTTCTATCATAAGATTTACAAGGTATTAGTTTTATCAATTGGATTTCTGAATTGGGTAAATATCCTTTTCAATCTGTAGTATTTAGAACTAATGATTAAGAGCTCTGGAGCCGGTCTAATTTGCTTGAGTGTTTGATGCGACTTTATTGGAATGATTGCATCTTAATGTGACTTCATTCTTCACCACTGCCTTGCAGATTTTCCCTCCAAATGAAAAGATCGAGAATATAAATGATCAATATTGGACATTGCGTGCAGAGGAGGTAATTTTTTCCACTCGTGCAAACTATTTTACCATGTTGTTATTTTCTTTTTTTATGGGTTTTATGATTTGTATTGTATTTTCAGCTATTATGGGACATTTTTTTTCACACCTGGGCTCAATCATGTTTAGGGCAAAATCCCCCCAAAATGCCCAGAATGTGGTTGGGCAGTGACTAGTCAGTGTTTATTTTAGTCTAATTGCAAACTATCTATATTCCCTGTATACCTTTACATGCCTAGTGTTTTGGTGTTAGATACAATACTTGTCAGATACAACAGTGGATATTGTAGTGATACTTCTAGATGTACTTTATAGTATTGACACTTATAAAAGTGTTTCTAGGGTTTTTGGAAATGGGGAGTCATATCCATTGTTACCAAAGTGTCAACTAGTCAATTGATTTAAGTTGAGGGCCTGGCCGACTGCATTAATAACTAGTTGCTAGGCGCTCATGATGTGGTTGCCCAAGACAACTAAGAATTTAAAGCTTTGTTTGTTTGTGATGGAATATGATCAGATGATGGTATATAAAATAGAAAAAATTATAAAACAAAATAAGACAGTTGAGGAGTTTTTTTAAGTTTACGTTTACTCACTTCAGTGATGTGTTGCCATTAGAGTTGCCACAAACAAAGGTCATATCTAATAGTCAAGGTTGCACTCTTCTTTGGAAAACAAAGACTGATTCCCTATCTTCTTTTTCTTTTGTTTTTCTGGCAGAACAAAGACTGTTAACTAAATGTTCAGTATCATTCCGTTCTTGCACAATTTATATGAACTTATTTTAGTGATTACATCAATATCTTGAGTTTAGAACACTTTTTTTTACTAGTCAATGTGTGGCTACCAACTATTCATTGCATCAATCAGAGTCCAAAATGACTAGTCATCGCTTTACCTGATTGCATAGTTTTCTAGGCGCCAAGGCAAAGCTAGGTGATAGAGGGTGCCTTGATAATTATCTATAATGTTTATTAAAATGTACAAGTAACCATCTTTCATTGAACATAAAACCATCTTTCATTGAGAATTGATTCATATAAAAACATGGAAAATCAATATATTTATGAGAAGAAAAAGAAGAAAGAAGAAAGAAAAGAAAATTCAGAAAAATATAGGGCTGAGCCTCTATATCTGTTATGGAAAAAGGGAAGATAAAGATAAAGAATGTATTGATTTAACAGAATTTTAAGTTTCCCTTGCTTATTGGTTCAGGTTTTTTAAGTCTTTGAGGGTTCAAGACAGTACACACCAACATGTGTTTTGATTGAACCCTGACAAATTTGGAAATAATAAAAAGAAACTAGTATATAAACTCAGAAAATGAATATTTTAGTCTAATAATATATATTTAATTGTTATAATATAAAAAAAAAACAAAGAGTGTTGAAGTGCTAGAGATATGTACAAAACAGGCAGGCCATTAACGAGGCAACCATCCATAGGTGCCTTGTCACTTTGAGCATTATGCCCTGTTGGTAATCCTTGTTTCCTGTATCTGTCTGTGTCTGTAACCAGGCAATAGTTCTTGATGTGTATATCGGTGACATTTTGGTTCACTTTCTCCGAGTGTTGGGGTTTTAGCATTTATAGCCAGAACCAGTGAGAAATCCCTTAGGTTATGATTGTATCCATCCTTGGTAATGTCTCTAATATGTCATCATATTTTGTTTTTATTACAACTATGTGGCAACTGGTTATATGGATTAACCTGGGCTATCTCAACCTTATTGACTCTGCTTGTCAAAATGGGCTTCAAAAATGGTGGATGGATTTGTGTGATGGGGTTACAGCGGTTGGTTTGAGGTATTGATGTTTATTTTTCAATGCTACAGATTCCAGAAGAGGAGAAAAATCTTGGTCCTCATGATCGTTTGATTCATGTTTATCACTTTACTAAAGATGCATCTCAAAATCAAATGGTAAGTAAACATGGATTCTAATAATCTCTACTTCCTGACTGAAAAAAAAATCTCTACTTCCTGCTGGTATTTGTTGTAGACCTAGGGGATCAACTATTCAAATATTCTATTCAAAGTTTTCTTTTGTTTCAACAGCAGGTTCAGAATTTTGGAGAGCCGTTTTTCTTGATCATCCATGAGGGTGAGACTTTGGCTGAAGTTAAAATCCGTATACAAAAGAAGTTGCAGGTTCCAGATGAGGAGTTTGCAAAGGTATATTTTCCTTATGTTGTTTGGAAAGCCCTCTTTTTAGTAATATGGAGGGACGCCATAGTCACTCTGGATTGCCTTAATAGATAGGCACTCCCTGCCCTTAATATGTTTGGTTCTGTTCTGGTCATATCAGGTCAAGTAATGGGCAATTCAATATTAGTGAAATTTCTTCTCTTAATGCTTAGGCAAACAGATTATATGTTACTAATCCATCAACTTTACAAAGGGACTACCTCATAGTTAAATATCATGGAATAAAATCTGATCGTTTATATTCCTTTTTGGTCAGTGGAAGTTTGCATTTTTATCATTGGGTCGCCCTGAGTACCTTCAGGACTCTGACATTGTATCCAGTCGTTTTCAGGTAAGTTTTCAAAAGCAATCGCATTCTATACGTCAAGATTCTTTAACTCCAGGGGGATTCTGATCAATTGTTGTATTATTTGCCTTCAGAGAAGAGATGTTTATGGAGCTTGGGAGCAGTATCTTGGATTGGAGCACTCAGATAGTGCTCCTAAAAGGGCCTATGCTGCCAATCAGGTGAGAGTGCTACCTTTGTGCAAATCATAGTTCTACTATTACAAACTATTTAAAAAAGAAATCTGGCTTGTGGTTTATTAGCCTACTCTGCTTGGGGGAAATAAAACCGAGTACATGTTCTTGCTTCTGTTTCTTGAACATGGCTTTGGTGTTCTGCCCGTTACATGAAAAAAGGTCCTTTGCTGGCAGCCATAATATGAGATACAACCCAAAAAAAAGGGATGATCTTAATAATCCATGTTTCACTGCTTTAGGCAGCCGTAATATGAGATACAACCCCAAAAAAAGGGATGATCTGAATAATCCATGTTTCACTGCTTTATGAGATTGGTGTATTACTCTATGGTGATCCTTGTCTCCAAAATTTGCAGAATCGCCACACATTTGAGAAGCCGGTGAAAATCTACAATTAGAAAAGAACTGGCGGTCCATCACAGTATTGGCTGAAGCTGATATTGCTAAATGCCATGCGTGGCAATGTGAAAGGCAGTAAAAAAAAAATGAAAAATGAGTGCGCAAAAAATCCAGAGATGAAAAGGAAGATGGCATTGAAGGTGGTGGTCTTTGCTGGGTACGGTTATTGATTTTGTTTGCTATGTATTCTTTTTTTTACAGTGTGGGCGGGGGGAGAGAGACTTCCTGAATACAGTGTGTTTCTTCTAGCGGTCAACAACCCCCTCGAGGTTCGGTTCTTTTTCATTAAGGCCTGTTCTCATCTCTTTGGTGAGAAAAATCAACGGCCTCTTCTTCATTTCCCATGTAATCTAGTGGTACATAAGAAGATTTTGGACTAGGGAATGTATACAGGGTATAGTTGGGTGTCCTTGAAATGTCCACATTTTTCGTCTTTTTTTTTTCCTTAAATTTTCCTCCGGTTTCTTCAAATGTGTTCAGGGAATTTTGAGGCGTTGTACAATGGTTAGCGGGTTTGGTTCTGGCTTCTGGGGCCCTTCTAGGCTTGTGTAAAAAAACAGCTATAATGTTTTCCAGTTCTCAGATTGGCCCTACATGGCCTTTTCCGCAATCACTGGTTGTCATTCATATTTGCTAAATCGCATCACCTTTGCAAAATGTTTCTGATTTTTATACGAGTGCAAATGGTTTTAGCATGAATGGGCTCAGGGTTCTTGTTATGGTTGTTTTCTGTTTCAATTACCAATGGAATTATCCTTGGAGTGCGAGGATTTACTACTCTGCTCGCCATGAGGCAGAACTGGAACAGGTTTGACAAAATTAGTTGGTTGCTTCTTCAGTCGATAAATAGATAAACCCATTCCTATGCGCTGTATTGTTTATTGGTCTGAGAAGTGAGAACATTTCATTCCATCAACGGTAAAGGGTGAGGATGGGTGTGGAAATCAAATCAGCAGGGATTCTTTAGATTGGATTTTGCGTAATTTTCGATTGCAGGAAATAGTTCAGAGTATTAAGCGAGTAAAAACCAAATGGTGCATCATATAGCTTGTAAGTTTATGCTCGGCTTAGATTGAGTTAGATTATGACATTTTATAAAAATAAAAAAATATATAAAATATTAAGAATTATAAAAAAAACAGTTATTATTATTGTATATTATTTTTTATCATGTATAAATACTTTCATATTTATATGTATATACATGTTATATGAAAACTTGATTAGGCTCGCGAGTCAAGTTTTATTAGGCTTGAACTTGGCTCGAATCTTGGTTTAAAATGAATCAAGGTCCCCTAATCGCCAACCACTGTATTTTCTTCGAGGTTGATTTTTTTACATAATCAATAAACTAACAGATCTGATGTCATTCTTTGATCTTGGGCCTCAACTGGTCCCCACCTGGACGGCTGGACCTATGATTGTGTTGGGTATCTAGGGTTGCAGAATCGGTTAAATAAAACAATTTTCTTGAAAATTTTAAAATTATAAAAAAAAACAATAAATTATATATTTATATGCAAAATGTTAGTCTATGGCAAGGGAAAACATGATGCTTGAAAAACGTATAATATCATGAATTCAATCCCATTAAGAGGTGTTTGGATTTGATTCATCTATAATTGGATTGAATATGGATCTACTTCTATCCGAGTAACGATGTCTATAGTACATCAAATGGACCTTACAACAAAGTCTTGGTGGTAAATATACCTTGTTGAACATAATGAAAAGTGAGCATGTGACAGCCTCTTCAAATCTTGATTTAATGTGTTAAATGCACTATAGTGGGACTGTTGTTATATTTGTAGAAATTATTTTCATTCTGCTAACAAAATGCAACATTCAAGTCATTTTAGTTCTTATATATGATATTTTGATCTTTTTTAGTTTTATTTATTAATATTTATTCAACATCTGATTGCAATCTGATGGATAGGTTCCGATTTGAATTAGACTATAAACAAATCAAATATGGATCTGATTCAATTTGATCCATTTTTAGCTCTATAACCAACAAACCAATCGTAAAAGTGAAAGCTATTCAGCTCATATTAATTAAGGGGGTGATTGGTTGAGCCTTTGAGGTTATTTTGGTATCACACCTTTTTAACATGATAGATGTTGCCAATTACACACTCCTCAGAAAAACTTATAATCAATCAATTGGTCAAGACTTTCGATAGCATACCTTTCTCACATCATAGATTTATCCATATTATAAACAAGGTAAACCCAAAATTGACGACTTTTATGTTGTTAAAGATTTTAATGTGATTGATAAGCACACATTGTGAAACGTGAGCCATTAATAATTAATCACGTGACATTTTTTATGTGATTGATTACTTTTTATTTCTCACTCTTAAATCTATTATATGTATGCTATTATATAACTTAAATTTCTAGGTTGAACCTTGAAATATGGACCCAATAGAAATGAGGATCCCTCCTTGTAACTTGAAATTTGCAACCATGTTCTTTTCTTCTTTTTTCTAAGTATATTCTTCTAGAGGTGTAAATCAGGCACGGCATGGCCCGTGGGTGGCCCGTGCTTTTGGCAGGTTGTGCCGTTCCGGCCCATGTGCTAGGCCAGGTCGTGCTTGCTATCTCTAGGATACTTCAGAGGTCCGGCCTGACATGGCATGTCATGCCGTAGGCCGAGCCTTGGACCTGGCTGGGCCCAGCCCGCAGATTGGGCCAAGCCATGAGAGGTATCTTTTTAGAAAAATTGAAAAAAAAATGCAAATTTAAAATAAATTAACAAAATAGACAAAAAATTGAAAAAAAAAATCTTAAAATTTTATTTTATATGAATTTTGATGTATACAATCCTTTATATATGCAATAACAAAATGAAATTAAAAATACACTATAATAGGAACAAAATAGTATAATAAAATTGAAAATAAAAATTTAAATATATTAATACATTATATATTATAGGGTAAAAGACTTAAACCTCCCTTCATTTTCCTCATAAATACTAAAACCTCCCCTTGTTGTTCAAATTGAACTAATACTTCTCTTGTTAGGTGATCTCGTTAGACAAAGACCTCCCCTCTCTTAACAATCTGTTAACATGTGAAATCACATCCTGTTAAAAATTTTTTAGAAACCCAATTTTTCCCCTTTGTGCTCCTTCGAGTACTTCAACTGTGCTTGATTTCTAGGTTTTATTTTAAAGGAAAATTGTCTAAAACTCACCATGAGTTTTCATCATTTTTCTTACTACAACTTTTCTAAAACTAACCATGTTAGTAAGCTTTTATTTTCCAAAACTCACCTGTTAGTTCACCATTAATGTTTCTTAACAGAGGTGTCCACATCAGCATAAATAACAATTTTTATGACCAAATCACCCTTGAAATGGCGAGTTAGAGGAAAAGGGTCTTTTTCAGTTTTCAATTTTCCTTTTTTTTACATTTTTAGTGTTTTGTTATAATTTCTAATGTTTTTTATAATTTCTGTTTTTTTTACATTTTTCTATTTTCTACCATCTATAAAATTTCCTGTATTTTTTGTTATTTATTTGCAATTTCTGTACTTTTCTATAAGTTTTGGTGTTTTTTCTACAATTTTTATTTTCTGATTTTGTTTTTCAATTTCAATAGTTTCTATAATTTTAAAATATTTTTTTTATTTTGTGTGCAATTTCTATAATTTTTTATATTTTTGTAATTTTTGTGTTTTTATTTGTATTTTATATTTGAAAATATTTTTTAAACTTTTTCCTTTTTTTCATGTCTAAATATTAAAATATATGTATATATTTTATATTTTTCTATGAAGGTTAAAATGGTAATATATTAACAGCCATTAGTCTCTTTAATGTCAAGCTAATGACATGGTGAGTTATAGAAATTTTAAAAAGTTATGGTGAGTTTAAAAGAAATGTTGAAAACTCATGGAGTTTTTGACAATTTCCCTTTTTAAAAATGATTAATAGTTGTTTTATGCCATAAAAGAAGAAAGAGGAAAAAAAATAGCTCTATCACTTTGGAAGTTTCTCACACAAGGAAACTCTCAAGTAAGGTCTGTAGAACTTGATGTTGCGCAATCCGACTACTCCCAGTTGGAGGTGATCTGGCTCCTAGTAGATGACGGACTCGGTAGATCTGCAAAAGGCGAATCAGAGAACCTGGGGGTGCTTACCCAGCGAGGTTGCTCCGATGCTTAAGTCAGTAACTTGCGAACTGATGGTAGTTTAGAAAGCAAGAGAGCTAGTGAGCAGAGATTGCGCGTACCTTTCACCCCCGGGGAGTGAAGCCTTTATATAATGGAGTCCTCGCGGGTTTTGCAGAGTGGTTTTGGGATCCTTGTTACAATGAGGTCCGTTTTCGAGTTGATTGGGGATAACGCTGCCAGCAGATAAGATCTATCGCTTCCGCCTGAATTGGATGGGGGAGATAATGTTAGCTATTACGAGGCGTGATCCCGTAAGGCGTGGAATCTGGTGGTGAGATCTTTGGGGTTGCCATGCTGAGGTCGGTCAATATTACCCGAGCTAGTGTCCTTTGGGTCCGACCTGGTATGAATGCTGAAGTGCCTTGAGACTGAGGTGGTCCTAATGCGATCATGCCTCGAGGTGAACTTGTCCCGAGGTGGTTCGGTTATCCGAGCTCAGCCTGCAAGTTAGGTCGTGCCCACGTGTCCCCCTATTACTAGGTTGAGCCAAATCACCCTACATCAATTGCCCCCCACTCCCCGAGCCAGGGGTCCTGACTCGGTGCGGGGAGTTCATGACGAGCCAAGTGGATTTGGTCTGAGGTCTGGGCAGCTAGCCAGATGATTCACGGGTCGGACTTGTTCGGCCACCCGTCTCAACCAGGAAAACCCAGGTCGCGTCTGGCCTACGCGCGGACATCACACGATTTATAAACTCCGCGGACGTCAAAAAACACGCTAAACCGATTTTATCCTCGGGGGTTGTGTAGCCAGTTTTCCTAGGAGCCGTTGGATCGCTTCGATCTCAACCGTTAGTTCTCGGACATAGCGGCTATAAATAGGGGGTCCGCGACTCATTTTTCTCGCCACAAGTTCTGTGATAGAGCTCTCCTGAGGTCGCGTCAAAGTCTTTCAGCTCGCTCTTCTCTTTGTTTTCCGAGGTCATCCTTCTTTTCGATGAGTCTGTGTTTTCCTGTTCTTCCTTTGTTTTTTAATCATGTCTAGTTCTAGCGTAGATAGGCTTTTTAGGTAGTTCTAGCGAGGTCGAGGGTGTCGTGGTGCAATCTGCGGCCCCTGTTGGGGAGGTCAACTCGCCACAAGGTGACTCCTCTCTTCAGTCTTTAGTAGAAGCTTCCGCTCCCGAAGTTGAGCCATCTCAGCTCGGGGAGACCGAGGTTCAGGAAGAGGGTCCGTCCTCTAGAGCGGAGGCCCCATCTTCTTCCTGAGTTCAAGATCCAAACGACTTCGGTCCTTCTACTCTAACTTCTGATAGGCTAATGTACCTAGTAGCTCGCTATTGTCTTCCCGATAGCTTGGTTTTTAGCCTTCCCTTAGGTCAATATCCTTGGGCTCATGATCACCATGAGCTCGCGGTCTTTGAGGATCAGCTCGCGGTCGGGATGCACTTCCCGCTTCACCCTTTCATTATAGAGGTAGTTAAGTTTTTTAACATTACCATCGACCAACTACA